CTGTTTCCTCCACCGAAACGCCCAGCTCCGGCAGGCCTGAGCCCACCTGCAGCCCCCAGATCAAGTCCTCGCAGGATTTTCCAAACGTTGGTCCATTCGTATATCTTTTCCCAATTTTTGCCACACCTGCAAACCAGCATGGTGACGTCTCCCATGCCGCCTCTACCGTGGACCTCATGTCTTCTTTAAATGACCCACTTTCAACTTATTTCAAAAGAAAACTCGATATCACTGCTATAAATGAGAGGCGCAAGATCACTGGCCACAACTCGAATGTAATTGTGAAAACACATGCAAGGAAAACAGTTCAGGTCCATTAAATTAAATCGTGTCCAATAAATCAGATTATTAAACTTGAGCTAGACACGGCCCCCCGCCAAGACTGACCGGGAAGCCTGCTCCCTGTCTCTGTTTTAATAAATGGAGATCAGCAAGGGTTAAAGAGATGCCAAAGATGCAGAACTCTAACTGAGACAGCTCCCTGGTGTAATCAGGATGGAAAGAGCAGCACGGTCTCGCTCCAAGCCGATGTGGTGCAGTGTGGCGTCCAAGTGCTCATTAAGATCATTGTGGATGCCCCACGTTCAGGGGAGTGTCGCCGGAGCAGCTGGGACGCCAGCTTTATGGTGGCCCTGTCCTCAACCCTGGGCTGGGCTTCCCTGGGGCTGGTCTGGGGTCAGGGCCTGCTGAGGGTTTCTCGTAGGGAGCAGGGTCAGTGCGGGGATGACCAGAACATCCCTGAACCCAGACAGTTGGCTTCTGACTGTCTCCCCCCCAGGACTTGCCTTGGGAAGGGACAGAGGCAGGCACACTCTCCTGCTGTCTCTGTAGGGCCTCCTCTGCATCCCGATAGGCTCAGGAGTTGGCTGGTCAACTGTGAGGTGACCCTGGGAATCCTGGCTCTTCTTTCTCTGTTCTCTTGACCTTGAGGTTGAGTCCAGGTGAGCGTCCACCACTCCGGGGCTTCTGTTGGTGCTGCTGGAAGGCGGAGAGAACTGCCCTTCCTCATTGCCACCGTCCTTCTCCAATGCCTGAACTAGTGACTCCAGGCTGCAAAAGCTAATTCTATGGACGCAGGACGAAGTCTGGGAGGAGCAGAGAGAGCTCTCTGGGAGTCACTGATTCCATGCGACCTCAGATATTTCTCTGCCTCCCTCTGAGCCTTGTTTTCCTCTTCGGTAACCTCAGGGAGTTAACGCAGATGACATGCAGATGACACACTTGCCCACAACTGCCCCTTCCCTCCCACGGCTTCCCTGGAGGGGGAGTGGATGTCCCTGTCCCAGCGATCTGGGGATTGATAGGAGTGCGCTTGCCTAAGGGGATGGGGTGGAAATGGCAGCCCCCCGGTTTCAAGGCAGTGTCCTTCTTAGAACTCCTACTCTCTGCCATGAGAAGAGTTCACCCAGAAGCCACGGGTCTCGACATCAGAGACACAGGGGCAGGCCTGAAGGTGAACAGTCCCAGCCAAGCCTCAAACTTGCACGAGACAGATAAATATTCGTGGTGGGAAGCTGTGGAGGTTCAGGGCCTGCCGGTGATAGATCCACTGCAGTAAGAGCCTAATGCAGACGCCAATTATTAGTGCCCAGTGAATGGCCACTTGTGCCTCCCACTTTAAGTTGTCCTTTCATTCATTCACCTGAGGAAGGTGGGCATTGTTATTCCTATTTGACAATGAAGAAGCTGCAGCTTTGAGACAAGTGACTTGCCCAAGACCCCCAGCTGAGAAGTGGATTAAACTGCCCATGTTCCTTTTTGCAGCGCACCCACCCAGTACCAGGTGTCCTTTGATCATCTCATTAAATCCTCACAGGCAGGATGTTCTGTTTCCTCCCATATGAGGAAGACTGAGGCACAAAGAGATTGACTGGGTCAAGGTCAGAGCCAAACAGTCTGCCCCCAAACCTTGCAGCCTTATTAACTATATTAATTACAGCAGGTCTTTGGAGAGTCCCTCCAACTTTAGTAATGCAGCTTTTACATCTGAAAAATGGGCATCACAAAGCAGGTGAAATGAGCAGGCTCCAATCTGGACAGCAGGGACCCAGGCCTATGGGCACACTGACTTATTGCTTTGCTTTCTTTCCTGAAGGTGATGGGGAGGAGAATTCAGGGGCCCCAACAGGACTCCTGTAGGGGAACTAGCTAAGCCTTGGCTGTCCTGGGACCCTGAGTTCTGCCTGGGGAGTGTCAGGAAGAGGCAAGTCACAGGCTGTGAGGATGCAGAGCCTGCTCAGCTTCCTGGCTAACACTACCTGTTCCATTAGGTCCGTGTCTTGATCTGTGCCATGTGGCTCCATCTTTGGCTACCAAAGTTCAACTCCTTCAGCTCCAAATCCTGTCTCTCTCCACCGTCCTTTTGGAAAGCCTCCTGGGAAGCTGCACATGCTGGTCCCTTGTGCTGACTCCAACCTCTCTTTCCTCTCTGCCTCATTCAATAAATCTTTGCTGAGCACCTACTACAGGCTGCAGGCCATGCCTTCCCAGAGCTCATGCACTAGTGGATGAGAGAGAGCCCTGGCTGGAGAAACCTCGGAGGCTACAGAGGCCAGGAGGGGCCTAACTCAGCCCCGAAACCAGAGGAAGCATCCTAAGGGAGAAGATGGCCTACTGCAAAAAATTAGACTCTTCTCTAGTGAAGCCACTATGAATCATTTCTGTTCCTAAGTCAAGTACCCTGGGCCAAGAAAGGGCAGTTGCTCTGGGAAGGGAACAGCATGTGCTAATCCTCTGTGCAATCCTCAGAGGGAAGCGTTGTTTCCATTTCACAGAAGAGAAAGATGAGCATCTCAGAGGAGACCTGCACAAGGAATTTGGTGGCAGGAATAGGATTAAAGCCCACGGATTTATTACTTATCACAGGGTAACAGGTATCCCCTGTCGTGGGCTTAAAATACCACCCATTATTATCTCAGTTTCTCTGCTTCATGAGCTGCAGTCAAGGTGTTGGTCAGGGTGGGACTCTCTCCCCAGCCCTGATGAGGCAGAATCTGCTTTCCAGGTTGGGAGGTTGTTGGCAGAGTTTCAGTTCCTGGAGGACTAATGGCCTGAACATCACATCTCTCGATGGCTGTCTGCTGGAAGTCACCCTCACCTCCTCACCTGTCCAGCATGGCAACTGGCAACTTGCTTCTCAAAGCCAGCAGAAGTCACCACCTTAAGCCAACTTATTGTGGAAGTGGCAGGCCACCACCTTTGCCTGTTCTGTTCACTAGAATCACTTGGTACCCCCGTGAGGGGTTCCGGAAGGGCATCCCAGGCGCACATCACTGGGAGACGTGGAAGAAGCTGCCCATCCAGGTCCACTTCACCCCCAAACTGTATTTTCTGCCACATCAAGTTTAATCTGTAGGCACAACTTTATGGGTTCAGACAGCACCCCTGGCAAGGGACTGAAGGAGTCTGGGGGACCGCCCACCCACGGTATACAAAGGGCATTGATACCCTGTTAGCACAGTGACCCACAAAGCCCCTGTCCCCACTTCCGTCTCTCACACATGCATCTAAAACTCTGATCACCTCTCGAATGGTAAATGGACGTGATCTGGAGATGAAACAGACCAGAGACCTTCTCTGTCTGGTTATAGAATAGGAAGTCAGCAAGCACCATGCTGTGAACTAGCTATGGGACCATGCGGCAAGGAAGTACACGCCACCTCAAGGATCTGAGATGACAGCCGGCAGACCGTTAGGAGAAAAAGGAGGATCTTAGTTCTATAACCACAATGAAATGAATTTTGCCAATATGTGAGCTTGGAAGAGACGTTTGAACACAAATGGAAACTTCAACCCTGGCTGACACTTAGCTTCAGCCTGGTAAAACCCTGAGTAGAGAATCCAGCCAAGCTGGGCCCAGACTCCTGATCTAATAAGATGATGATAAATTTGTATTGTTTGAAGCTACTGAAGTTGTGGGCAATTTTTTACAAAGTGATAAAAAACAGTTCACCGGGTTTTAAAGACAGTACAAAAATGAATATCTCATTAATAATTATGATTTTATTTTAAATATTCCAGATACATTGGGTTCAATAAAATATACTATTAAAATAATTTCACCTGTTTCTTTTTACTTCTTAAAAATGTTGCTATTATAAAGATTTAGTTGCATAGGTGGTCCACCTAGTATCTATTGGACAGGGCTGGCATGGGGGACACAGAGGCTGATCTGACCTTGAGCAAGCCATCATGTTTCTCAAACCTTATAATTCTTCCCTGTGAGACAGGAATAAATAACAGCACCTAACCCACAGGTACATGTGCAGCCTGCATGAGATGAAGCCTGAATTCAGGCCCAAATACGAGCTCAGCCAGTGTGGGTAATTATCGTTGTTATTATGACAGTATTTGAAGTCTTCCATGAACTTGGTTCCTCTCTTCAGCACCCTCTCCCCAACCAGGCACCCAGAAGCCACTCATAGATACCTGAAGATCACACGATGTTCGGGGAGCTCTTTGCCACCCTTCCCCTTGACCCTCACCAGCCCACCCCAAGGCAGGATCAGGACTCCGTGGGCAGGTGAGGATACGAGCCTCAGGGACAGAAGGATGCTCACAGCCCACCTGCCTGCAGCCACCACTGCAGCCCCCTCAGGCACAGCTTGGGGCTGGGGGAGATGCCTCCGCCTTCCCCAACTCCTTAAGTCAGATCCCTGCAGTCCGAGCAAGGGCCCAGCGACACCTGTCAAATGCAGAACGCCAGAGCCTGTAGTCCCTGCCAAGTTTGTGCCAGGAATAGCTGAGCTAAGTCACCTGAAATATTTCTGGCACATATTAAGCACTCAGTTAATCCCACCATTGTTGCTGCCTGTCCTGGGACCGCGGCCGAGCCCCCTTTCTAGGTGGATCTCCATCCCCTACCTGACCCATCCTTCGCGGACTCCAGATGGGGGGGATGACCGGCTGTTGGGCCCAGACTCCAGACACCCCCACCCCCCACCGAGTCAGGAATAGAAACCACCGCCTCCGGCCGCGGTCTCCCTCCTCCCCGGCAGCGATCGATGCGGCCTCAGCCGCGGGGGACGGAGGAACACAGGCAAGGAGGGGGCCGCGGGGCCTCGGGCTGCAGCGAGGCGGCAGGGCCGCTGGGGCACTGACAGCCCGGGCGCCGCCAGCGCCTCCGCAGCCTCTGCGCCTTTGGGGACCGACGCGCCAGGCTTCAGAGAGCGGCTGCCGCAGGTAAGGGGCCTTCTTTGGGAAGGGGCGTGGTCCGAGGAAGGTCTTGGGCTGGGAAAGTGGGCGCTGGGAACTGCCTAGGCTTCCTGGTGCCTGAGACTCTCTAGGACACGGTCCAGGGGGGCACTCGGGCTGGCCCTGCTTGCTCATCTGTAAAATGGGGTTTGAGAATTCCCTGTCGGGGTTGGTGTGAAGGGATTTCACGGGAGCACTGGGTGTGGAGCTCAGCCAAGGGACCAGCAAGTAATAGGTATTCCAAGTAAGTGTCCAGAAAGTCTTGAACCAGAAAGATGCGCAGATCTAGTTAGGGAATATTTGTTGAATTAATTATCCCATTTTATAGAGCAAGAAAGTGAATTCCAGACAGATGAAGGGATTTGCCCTGACCCTGCATCTAGCGGGTGGTGAAAGTAGATGAGAACTTTTGCCAAACCCAGGAGGAAGAGGTGAGAGTGGAGCTGCAGCACAGGTTTCTTGTGCACCTATTACTGCCAGGGTCTGCACTGTCCACCGACATCTAGCATCATTGTATCCTCATAGCTTCCCATGGAAAGTATGATATTTTCCAGTTTGTAGATGGGAAAACTGAGGCTCAGAGCAGGGAATGGATCTGCTCAAGGTCAAGAGCTAGTAAGTGGCAGACTCAGAATCTGGACTCAGGTTTGACCTGAGAGAAGGACAAGGGATTAATGTTCATTGAGCACCCACTGTGTTCCAGGGGCTTTGCACACATACTCTGGTAACAGTTCATCCAAAGGGCCATTATCCCCATTCTAGAAATAAGAGAGCAAGCCCAGAGACTGGCCTGAGATTGCACAAGTGCCAGAGGTCAGGGGGGAATCCCAACCCCCTAACACCAAACCCGGGAGGAGTGAGGACACCCAGGCTTCGATGCATACTCAACCCCCAGGAAGCCAGTGTGTTTGAACCCACCATGCAAATGAGATAACCAGGGTCAGGAGGTGAGTCCCAGCCTTCAATTCCATCAGAGGCAGGAGTCAGTGGGCAGTGAAGGACCTGCCACTTCCTGAGTATCAACTAAGCCAAACGCTATAATCTACCTTAACCCTTCAGCCATCCTTGGGGGGTAGGCATTGCCCATGAAACTGAGACCCGGAGAAGAAACATCTTATTCAAGGCCCCAGGTGCATCAAGGATGGTTTTGCCTGACTCCAGAAGAGGGTCAGAGGCAGATAATTTAATAAACCTCAAAAAAGACATTAAGTCAAGGTAATCATTTTAACCACACTTCCAGGTGGATATTTTTATCTCTATTTGATGAAGGATCAGAAAGGTGATGTAACTTGCCTAAGGTCCCACAAGCGCACCAAGGTTCAATGCTGTCTGCCTTACATGGTCTGATTGGAGATCTCAAATTTAACCCTGTGTTGGAATCACTCCCCGGGTTTTTAAGAACTCAGACTGCTGACCCCCTACCCCAGAGTTTCTGATTCAGCAAATCCAGGGTGGGCTGAGAATCTGCATCCCAGGTGATGCTGATGCTGCAAATCCAGGGAACACTTTGAGAATCCCTGGTCTAAACTGATTTTCCTAACAATCCCAGGTGGCAAGCATTACTACTCCTATTTGCGGAGAAGGAAACCGAGGTTCAGAGTGCTGGCACATCCAGGATCACACTGTAGACCTCTGGTTAGTCCTGGGAAAGAAGACATCCTACGTGAGCGTTCGGCGCATGCCAGACATAATCCTTCAAGGTAGAGCTCCCATTTATTTTCCATAGGAGAAAATGAAATGGGAATGGGGAGGGTCCGTGATCTGTCCAAAGTCCTGCAGCCAGGAGGGTGTGGGATATTCAAACTCGGGCCTGACTTGCGTCCAGAGGACATCTGACGTCTACTGATCTCTAACTGGATACCAGGTTCAACCGGGCCTCCAACACCCCGCCTGGTGGAGGGAGCAGGGGATTTTAACCCAGTCTTCCTGGAAAGGAGGCCCTGGGATCTCTCAGTGCGCCCTCCGGTGTCTGCAGGGCGACCCGCTGTAGCCATGGTGAGCGAGTCCTTGGGGCCTGGCACTGGGGTTCCCTGGAGGAGAAGCGACGAGGCTCTGCGCGTGAACGTGGGCGGCGTGCGGCGGCTGTTGAGCGCGCGCGCCCTGGCGCGCTTCCCGGGCACGCGGCTGGGTCGCCTGCAGGCCGCGGCGTCGGAGGAGCAGGCGCGGCGCCTGTGCGACGACTACGACGCGGCGGCGCGCGAGTTCTACTTCGACCGGCACCCGGGCTTCTTCCTGGGCCTGCTGCACTTCTACCGCACCGGCCGCCTGCACGTGCTCGACGAGCTGTGCGTCTTCGCCTTCGGCCAGGAGGCCGACTACTGGGGCCTGGGCGAGAGCGCGCTGGCCACGTGCTGCCGCGCGCGCTACCTGGAGCGGCGCGTGACGCGGCCGCGCGCCTGGGATGAGGACAGCGACACGCCGAGCAGTGTGGACCCGTGCCCCGACGAGATCTCGGACGTGCAGCGCGAGCTGGCGCGCTATGGCGCGGCGCGCTGCGGTCGCCTGCGCCGCCGCCTCTGGCTCACCATGGAGAACCCGGGCTACTCGCTGCCCAGCAAGCTTTTCAGCTGCGTCTCCATCGGCGTGGTGCTGGCCTCCATCGCCGCCATGTGCATCCACAGCCTGCCGGAGTACCAGGCCCGCGAGGCGGCGGCCGCCGTGGCTGCGGTGGCTGCTGGCCGCAGCACGGAAGAAGTGCGCGACGACCCGGTGTTGCGACGCCTGGAGTACTTCTGCATCGCCTGGTTCAGCTTCGAGGTATCGTCACGCCTTCTTCTGGCGCCCAGCACGCGCAACTTCTTCTGCCACCCGCTCAACCTCATAGACATCGTGTCGGTGCTGCCCTTCTATCTCACGCTGCTGGCTGGCGCAGCGCTCGGTGGCCGGGGCGGCGGGAGCGGCGAGGAGCTAGGCGACCTGGGCAAGGTGGTGCAGGTTTTCCGCCTCATGCGCATCTTCCGGGTACTGAAATTGGCACGCCACTCCACTGGACTGCGCTCCCTGGGCGCCACGCTCAAGGTAGGCCGGGTTGGGGAAGGGGCAGGTGAGTGTGGGTGAGGGTCAGGTTAACAGGTGAATTTGTAAATCTGCCATGTCCAGGCGCATCCTGAACCGAGATGCCATCCTTTGGGTCAGGCACAGGGCTAGACGCCAAGTGTATGGCTCAATCTTGTCTGACCTTCCCAATGACCCTGAAAGAAAGGGCTTACTGTTATCTTCATACCCCAGGAGAAAACCGAGGTATGTTTTTGCTTTTTACAAACTGGTCACTTTTGATATATCTGCTAAATATCAAATAATACATAGCACAAAAATATGTAAAGCAGGATGCTTTCTGGGTTCTGGTTAGAGCCTTTCTCCTGGCATTATCAGAAGGCACAGAGTCACAGGTCACCCTTAGTAGGAAAGTGTAGGAATAGCCCAGGAGCTGAAACAAGCACAGACTCGGCATTCAGTGCCAATTTCACATGCATTACTGGTTCAGTACTTAGTATGGCTTTCTCAGGAAGTTGCTGTCCTTTAGTGTTATTGTTTTTCTTAAATGAAGATGCAATGAAGGGTGGCTTTTTTAAGCCTGGTTGCACTTTATTGAGCCCCATCTACATGCACTGGGGATGAAATTAGTCTTGCTGGGAGAGGGAGGCAATGTGAACAGCTTGCACAAGGCTTGGTGAGAGAACAGGGTGCATGCTGGGAGAGGGGACCCAGGGAACAGGGAGCCAAGAAATGAGGTTGATGAGGTAAGCGGGTTTTGAAAAGCCCACGATTTTCTACTTTATCTCCAAGGGAGCATGTGAAGGGTTTAAGCAGGGGCAAGTGCTGTCTGTTCTGTGCAGATGTGGAAACTGAGTCTCTAGGAGGTGACAGGACTTGTCAGGAATTCTTCAGTAAGTGGCAGAGCCCAGAGAATAACCCAACCGTGCCCAATCCTAAAGCACATGCTCAATCCTAAAGCACCCTCCACCCTTGGCTTAGGGAAGCCTCTTGCATGCTCTCCTGGCAGAGCAGCCAGGATACTGGGTGCTGGCAGGTGACCTGGGCAGAATCTGCTCAGGTGCAGAGAATTCTGTTAGCCAGACCCCCTGAGTTCAGCATCTGTTTTGGGAAGATTCTGCCCCTGGGCCCTGCACTGCCTCCACCATGCCAAGAATCAGGGCTTGAAGCTACTCACTGAAGGGTAATGATCTGGCTGTTAGGGTCAAGACCCAGGTGTAGGATGTTCCAGATGGAGCCTTACTGCTCCAGGTGAGGCCCAGGCTAGCAACAGCTTTCTCAACACCTGGGAGCTTGCTGGAAAGGCAGACCTGCTAAATTGGGTTCTGCCTTTTAAACTACGACCCTGAAGGTTCCTCCTCATATTTCAGTTTGAGAAACCTGCTCTAGACTCGGGGCTGTCACTGCTGACATTTGACGTTAGTTCTTTGTGTTATGAGGGTCTGTCTTGTGCACTGTAGGGGGTTAAGCCCTGGCCTCTACCCATTTGAGGCCAATGGCACATCTGACCCCTTGTGACAACCAAAATATGTCTCCAGACATTGCCAGATGTCCCTTATGGGACAAAATCACCCTGTTTAAGAACCAGTGCCGTAGGGCACCCATGGGTGCTCTAGGGAACTCATCCTCTCAACCTCCTTGAGGGGCAGGAGTGTTTTTGTATGTCAGAAATGTGTACTTTGAATCAAAAGTTCATGAAACCAGCTCTGCATTGTGAGGCAGAAACTGTGGTTCTGTTGGTTCGACAGCCAGGTAGAAATCACAGCGTTTTTGTCACTGGCCCTTGCCCCGGAGATCCCTGAGTTAGAAACAGCTTGGCCTCGTGGGCGCCATGGACAGCCTTTGGGCCTGTGTTCCGTCCTGGGGAGCTTCGTGCTTGCTGTAGTTGGTTTGCTCTGTGACTTTGGACCTGCCCCTTCCACTCCTTGGGTCCTAGTTTCCCCATCTGCCCGATCCCGGGTCTGAGAGCCCGTCTGGCTGACCCGGGTTCCTGCCTTTTCTTGCAGCACAGCTACCGCGAGGTGGGCATCTTGCTGCTGTACCTGGCCGTGGGGGTGTCTGTGTTCTCCGGCGTGGCCTACACAGCTGAGGAGGAGAACGTGGGCTTTGACACCATCCCCGCCTGCTGGTGGTGGGGCACAGTGAGCATGACCACTGTGGGCTACGGGGACGTGGTGCCCGTGACAGTGGCTGGCAAGCTGGCAGCCTCAGGCTGCATCCTCGGTGGCATCCTGGTGGTGGCGCTCCCTATCACCATCATCTTCAACAAGTTCTCCCACTTCTACCGGCGCCAGAAGGCTCTGGAGGCGGCCGTCCGCAACAGCGGCCACCAAGAGTTTGAGGACTTGCTGAGCAGCGTTGACGGGGTGTCAGAGGCATCGCTGGAGACATCCCGAGGGACCTCTCAGGAGGGACGGTCCACAGACCTGGAGATGCAGGCCCCCCGTGCACCTCCAAACTCTCAGAGTTATTAAAACCAGGATCCGAGTCCCCCCTGCACCCCCAAGTCAGCTGAAACAGAGCGAATTGTTCCCTGTGCAAGCTCTTCATGAGAGGGAGCCTCTTGGGACCCTTGGCCTGAGAAATGAAACCTGGGCTGCATATCTCCCTCCAAAGGCCCAGGCCAGCACAGTGCCACCTAGATGCTGTGCGCGCACAGTGCCACCTAGATGCTGTGCGCCCACAGAGCCACTTGGACACCTTGATTAACCAGCCTCCCCAGCCAGGAAGCAGGCATGAGCCAGAGGATGAAGTGGAAGGATGGGGACGTTCTGAGCACCTGCCCTGCGCTGGCCCAGTTTGTCCCTGTGGTTCGAGATGAGAACTGCCTCACTTCACAGATTAGGAGGCTGAGGTCTGGGGGGGAGTGTCTCACCCAAATGTGGTGGAGTCAGGTGTGAAGTCTGTGTTTGTGGTCGGCCCCCACAAACGTTTCATCCACCCCACTCCTCTGCTCTCACCAGGTTTGATGTGATTTTAGGGGGTCTGGGGTTCCCCAGAGTTCATCCATAGGGTGAGAATGCTCTGTCAGGGAGGGAAAGGAACAGATGGGATTTGGAGGTAGGAGACCTGGACCTCAGCTGTGGTTCTTTCCTGGGAGCTGAAGGGACTCAGCTCTTGAATGAGTCCTGGGGGAGGGGAAGAGAACTGCCTCCTAAGCCCAGGTGCAGGATTTGCTGAGCAATACCCTCCCGCCTTTCTTCCCAGGGCAGACTTGAGAGCAGATCTGAAGCGGCCCTGGCCTGAGGCCTGAGGCCTAGACTGAGACCCAGCTGTGGACCTACTGTGAGCCAGCTCCTGGTCCTGGCTCATGACCCAGGGGGAGATGAAAGCTGAGTGGAGCAGAGGAGGCACAGAATTAAAGCCAGCTTAGCTCTGAAATGTCAGAGGCAGGGCTTCCGTGCATGTCCCCATACTGACTACGGCTGTCCCCTTCTACCCACCACACACACATCCAGCCCTCCTTGAGAAGCCAAGGTAAAAACTTGAGACTCCTGTCTGTCCCAGGGCTAGCTCTGGCCTGTCCTCCTTTGCTGTGGGTAAATCTTTCATACTCCCTTGCCCACTCCTCTCTCCACTGGTGGAGAGAGCTGGGAAGTGTTCTCATGGCCCTTTCCACGGACACTGGCTAGAGCGCCATCACTGTACCATCATGGCCACACTGAGCCTCAGGATGGAAGGTATCGTTTGGCTGAACCCAGGCTTGGGGCAGAGGAGGTACTTGGTACATGTTGACCAGATTGACTGATTCCTATAGCCTTTGGACGCCAAGCATTGAGCTGGGAGAAGAAATAGCCAGACAGGGAGAGATTCTGGATGCTCTTGAAAGAGTGTGTGAACAAGACCAAAAAGGAGGCCATTCAACTCTGCTTCCCCTGGCCCTCCTTGAGTTTTTTGAGGTTTTAATTTTTATTTATTATTTTGTGGTACTGGGGATTGAATCTAGAGTGTCACACATGCTAGGCAATGCCCTAGCACTGAGCAATGTCCCTAGTCCTTCTTTTTAAAGAAAGGGTCTTACTAAATGCCTGAGGCTGGCCTGTAACTTGTGATCCTTCCGCGTCAGCCTCCCGAGTAGCTGGGATTACAACATGTGCACCATGCCTGGCAGTTTTTGAAAATTCTTTTTTTTTTTTTTTTTAGAATGATCTCCATGTAGGTTCTTCACTCCCTCATTCAACAGATCTTTATAGAAAGAGTCATGAGCTGGGGGCTTTCCATGTGGCATATGGACATATTTTGTTCAGCTGAGCATTAATTTTAGCATATTGTAAAAATTTAAATGCCTTTGGGTGAGGCATGCACTCTTCAGTTCCCCATAGCATCTCCCCACCACCGTGGCCCCATATATGGACACACGTTACCACGAGTGTGTCGCACCCAGAGTAGCTGATTTACTCTACCCACCTGGCCACTGATTTATTGAGTGCAGTTCAAGTGAGAGAATGATGGACAAAATAGATGTCTCTGTACTCAGGAAGCTATGTGTGCTAGTGGGGGAGACAGACTAATGCAGCAATCACAAACAGACATGGTAGTAGCTCTAAACCTGCAGGGAATTTCAAGCGTAGGTAAAGCACAGGGTCGTTACCTGAGATCAGCGAAGGCCTTCCCTAGCAGCGATGAACTAGCTGTGATCCAGCCCTCATGACGGTGAACAGCAGGGTTCTGGGGAGGAGTACTCGAAGCCTTGGCGGGGCGGTTGAGAGCTTGTGTGTCTTACACAGGGCTTGGTACATAGCAGGCCCCCAGCACACAGACCCTGGGTCTCCAGATTGGACCAGGGCAGGAGCTAGGCTAAAGGGCCTCTTGGGAACTCCCCATGTAGGAGTCCCCCTGCACACGTGCCTCAGTGTCTGGGCCCAGCCATGCTCAGGTTGGGGGACAGAGGTTGGAAAGCTGCATGAACTGCTCCTTACGGTCTTGCCTAAGACTCCAAGAATCCGACGGCTTCCAGATTTTCTTACCCCACAAACCAGTCCCTGAAGATTGTGAGATCCTGACACGAGCGCAGCAGCAGTGAGCCACTCTGTGTGTCTGTGAAAACCATTATGCAAATAAAGAGCTGTGCCCAGGGACCCGTTTCTGCTTGTCTAGAGCTGGCTTGCTGGTGTGTCCTCTGAGTGACTGGGGAGGGTGGGCAACATGTGGAGTGACTTGGAATCCACATTCCCTGGTTCCTGCCTTGGATTTGGCAGAGGCCTTGGCTGGAGTTCAGTCAGCCAGAACAGGTTGCAAGTGTCAGGAACTCAGCAGGAATGAACTTGGTCGAAAAGAGCAATCCATTAGAGTAAATTACTACAGTGATCTAACTTGAGTTCTTTGGTTTCAAGCAGCTAAAACAGACTAAGAAAAAATGAATCTATTGGAAAGTGCATTAGTTTCCAGTGGCTGCCACAGCAAATTACCACAAACTCAACTGCTTAAAACAGCAGAATTTTATTCTCTTACAGTCCTGGAGGCCAGGAATCCAAAATCAGGGTGTTGGTGGGGCCACACTCCCTCCGGGGCTCCAGAGGTGAACCCCCTTCTTGCCTCTTCTGGCTTTTGGTGGTGGCTCCAGTCTCTGCCTCTGGCCTCACGTCACCTCACCCTCTAAGTGGGTTTAATCTCCCAGTGCCTCACTCCTCTAAGGACATCTGTTAGGGTCCACTGGGATAATCCAAAATGACCTCATCTCAAGGCCCTTAATTTCATCACTCTTGCCAAAAAGACCCTTTCACAAATAAAGAATCATTCACAGCTTCCAGAGATTTGGATGGGAACACGTTTGGGGTCACCTGTCAGCCCTCTACAGAGCTGACAAGGCCTTGGGAAACAGAACAATGAGGGGAGCTCTGGGGACCTCAGAAACAGGCCTGGGGACCTGCTAAGATGGATACTGCCACCCAGACGTCCACCTCCAATCCCCTCCTTCCCTGAGTCACACTTCTCACAATCTAGTCCCAGGAGAGGGGGAGGCCCAGCCTGGTGCCAAGCTTTTCCTTGGAAGGGACGGAGGGCAGAGTACTGGGTTTACAAGGAGCAAAGGCAGTCACCCCCCAAGAAAGGCTATGCGCCGTTACCTGGATAAAATAGAGGGCTACTGATAGGCCAGAGTGGCAGGCATCCCCTAAATCCCACCCCTGGGCTGCCCAACACCCCACTCACACCTTCCGCCCATGCACCCCATTTTACACTTGCTCTAACATAAGGAAATTCTCTTGCATATGCCCGGAAACACACTGATCCTCTCCCTAAAGGAGACGCTCCACGGTCGTATCCTGTTAATGATTCTAGCCCAGAGTTCATCCTTCTACAGTATTCTGTGACATAAGGAATAAATGGCAAGTGTACAGGCCACTGGCAGACTCTGGATGTGAGGCTGGCGGGAAGGGAAGAGACTGTGAGGAGGAAGACACCGTTGCTTCGTCCTCATTCCGTGATGGTCATGAGCCTAAAACTGGCATTTATAGCATCCCTCTGTGCTGGCAGAGCCCTTCCTCAAGAGATGGCCTTCAAGCTAAGGGCTCTAGGTCCATAAGCCCCTCAAGGCTGGTGTTAGGGGATCATCTATCACTCAAGGAGGCTCAAGTCTTGCCAGAGCTGGAGAGTGGGGGTTGGTTTTGCTTTGTTGTTTTATTTCTGCTGTTTTGTTGATTGTACAAATTAAGTAAGGCTTTAACTGGCTGCCTGTGGTTTCACCTTCCAGGGCCATGGGACACTGCGAGTTCTTGTCTCATTCAGAGACTGTGGAATATCCTAATGATTGTTCCCACTTAGTTTTGGAGGCCAGAATGGCAGGCATCCCCTGAGTTCCTCCCCTCTGAGCTCAGGGAACCCATTTCAGATCACAGCCCTCCACGCAGCACTCTTGATCTCGACTTTCTTCAAAGCAAGGGGGAAGTGTGCTGGGTTCACTGGAGGCCACGGGAAGGAGGCACAAAACAGATCCAGTTCAGCATCCTGTCTTCAGAGACTTCTCATTCCCTTCCTCTACATGATGCCAAGGGACTTGGGCCCTGTGGTTTCATTTCAGGTGGACCAGCATTTGACCCAAGTTTGCTTTAGCCAAATCCATGAATTAATTGCTAGAGCCAGACCCGTTCCTGGAGCTAGCACAGAGAAGGCTGATCACTGGTTAGTGCATCCATACTAAGAAGATCAGCCTGGTCCAAACTTACATCTTCCCCCTGCCTGACGAAGCACCACGGAAATCCATTTCCACAAGATTCCCCCAATTTCTAATGGTATCAGTTAACAACTTCTGCAATTCTGTATGGCCCCAAGATTCTTTTCTACCCAGAGTTTACTCTTCAGCCTCCAGGCCAAACTGGTCCCACTTTCCAGCTTAGCAGCCTGGAGGGGTGGGGCAAGCAGGAAGTTGTGCCCTTTCTTTCTCCTAGAGGACATTGTGAACTGTTGGAACCAGTGTTTTAGAGAGCCTTGGGTCTCTCCTGCGTGTGCTCACTCGGCCATTCCTCTTGTAGCAGTCCTCTTCTTTATTGACGCCTAACTTTTTAGAAGTGCACCATGGCTGTGAACTCAGCAACGTGCACGCTCAGCTGTGAGCTCTAGTACCTGGAGAACTGAGCCCTATTGTGAGTCATAAGAGATTCTTACACCATGGTCACAGAAATGATTTACATTTCATTTCATGTTAAAAATAATAATATTTGATCTTGCTTAGTTGACTCTCCGTTTATATTATTCTATGCAGTTAGAAACACTCCATCACACAAGCTGGGCACCCTTCACTTCCTTAAAATTGAACTGTGACCCATGCTACCTCTCCTTGGAAACCAGACCCTGTGGTCAAATGCTAAAGGTCATACAAGAAATCGTTGGTTATCATTACATCCCCCAGTCACTGGCTTCCCAGGGTAGAGCAGGAGCAACAACCTCAGTGTTTTGCCCCATGACAGCCCAATAGCTTTGAAAACCCCACATTTCCTGGAAGACATGTTACCTACAACTCAACTCTAGGTCCAGTTTCTGATATCAGGAATATTTGGTTGCAGACAACCAAGTGACCGCATTGGATAGATACTGGACAGGAGTAAAGTATTAGCCAGCCAGGCTTTGAGAAGGTACAGGTGAGGGCAACACAAAGATGGAGGCGAAGCCATGAATCATCTCTTGAGGGCAGTGTAATTACCATGGCTGGGTGACAAACACCTTCATATATGGATCACTCTGCTCAAACTAAAAATTCCTTAAGACTGAGTCTAAATGTCTTGTTTGGATCACATGCCCTCAAATGGCCTGGGGGAGGGATGGGAGGGCCTACCACAGACAGTCTCCCCAGACACTGCTGGAGAATAGTTCCCTAAGGAAAAGGGGGATATTTTTATTAAAATAAGGGAAAGAGATCCTGAAGTGGCAAAACCAACAAATATCTTTCACAATACCACTGCGTGAGAACGGCAGCCAGGTGGCTCCGCTCAGTAATGGCAAACCAAGGACAAGAGAGACAGGAAGACAGACCTCTGTGGGAGACAACAAGGCTACCCATAGTGCAATCACACATGGTGCAGCGCCTCTGCCAGAGAACTCCTTCCCAGTCCTGATTTGAAAAATCAATGGTTAGGCCAGGCGCCGTGGCACTCTACAATTTATAAAGTATTTCCATGTCCATTATTTCATACACTTTGTGTGTACTGAGGATTGAACCCAGGAGCCCTCTACCACTGAGCTATATTCCCTGCCCTTTTAAAATTTTGAGATGCCATCTCATTAAGTTACCAAAGCTGGCCTCAAACTTTCGATCCTCCTTCCTGAGCCTCCAGAGTAGCCGGGATTACTAGCATGTGCACTGAGTCTGGCTTCATATACTTCTTACAATAACCCTGCAAGACAACTACAACAATAATAAAATAGTATCATCAGGCTGGGGCTGTAGTTCAGAGGTGGAGCGCTTGTCCCTCACGTGTGAGCTACTGAGTTCGATCCTTAGCACCACATAAAAA